AAATATATTGTAAAATATGTAATATATATAATTTGGATGTAAAATATATAATTTGAAATGGATTATAGGTGATAACTGTGGAAGGGATGCATAACCAATTGACACACTTTTTATAATTTGTAATGGAATATGTTTTTATGGTGTTTGTTGTGTCTTGTTTGTTTGTGTCTATTCAAAAAATAAAAAAATTTTTAAAAAAGAAATTAAATGAACAAATAAATATGGCTTGGAATTGTAAAGTTCTTGGTTCTCTCTAAGCTTGGCTGTTTGCTTAGAGACATTTCACTGCCTAACTAGGTAACATCATCTCTCTCTTTCACTCTCTGTGTCTGTGTAGTTTGCTGCTTGTCTATATACAGCAACTTGTCCTGCCATTTTAATGGGAGTGCAGTTTCCTCCTTGGTGGTTGCTTGACTATTGTTTTGTATTTTCTTCACAATAGATTGAAACTAATTATAAAGCATTCAAATGTACAAAATATACTATACCTTTGACTCTATATTGTTTAATGAGACAGGGAGAGAAGATGCTGATGATTCTGGTACCCCTAAAGCATCAGAGATCATCTGGATTTCCCGATGAACTTCATCATTCTTTGCCAAATGAGAACCTTTACATTGCTTAAACTGTAGTATTTGTAGAGCCTGAAGTTCTGTGCTTAAAAATACTACAAAATGAGGAAGAAAAAGAGATGTTAACTTGGTGTTTGTGTTTCAGTAAAAATTATTTTAATGATCCGCCAAGCTGATTGAGATATCAATATAAAACTAAAATAAAAATAAGGCATGAACAATAAAAACTAAACTAAAATGAACCATTATTTAGATATTTTTTTTAATGGATTAATACCAATATACTCATCCACCATTACTTGGTTATCAGGAATCAAACTTTTCTTCTTTAGTGGAATTTAGCAACAGGTATGAAAATACTACTAATCAAATGCTAATAACATAGTAGGCAGATATCTCCATGATGGGTATGTTCCAGATCTCATTAGATAAGAAAGGGTAGCTGGCAGGCTCAGAAGACAAACCTTTTCTGGCATAGTGCCTATTCCCCTCCCCGAGATTAGACTGGCCCCCAGCTCTACTGGTCCTTGGCTCGGATCTAGGCCTATAAGAGTATAAAGCGGCTATGTTCTGAGTGTCAGATCCGAGGCCTGAAGCTGCCATTCAGGGGAGAAGACTGGGCCAGCTGCCAAGACTCACCGTCCCACCTACACAAACTGAAGAAATTCATGCTAACAATCCATGATTAANAAGGTATTTGAGCATTTTTAACAAAAGAAAGACTATTTTGAAGGAATAAGTTTCTATTACAGCTCTACTAATGTGTAAGACAGTTAAAGTAACAACCTTAATATTTTTCAGTGTTCACAACTGTAAGTGATCTATTACTTATAGCTATGCTCTAGGTAGCTATTAACAGATTTTTTTAATAGATGCTCCATGTATATGAACAGAAACACAACACTGGGTAACTGTTAATACAAACTATTTATATAAGAACATTATGTTCTATAAAATACACTATTCGGATTTAAACATATAAAAGGTATTGAATTTTTATTGCATTGTTAGAGGTGGTCAAAATTACAGGCATACAATTACCAGAAATCATTATTCATCCTTAACTGTTTTCTGATTTGGGAAGGTAAGGAAATGTTAAACAATTACAGGTTTAACTAGTTAAAAATAATCTCTTTCACTTTTGGCTCAGGAGAAAAGTATGTCTTGCTTTTCATTTTTGATCAGTTAAAATAAAATATATAATTTCTGGAATAATACCTTAGTGTACATCAATATTTCTCAACTTTGGCAGCTTTAAGATGCATAGAAATCAACTCACAGAATTCCATATAAGCATGGGATTTGAGATCCAACTTCTTAAAGTTGTCAAAATTGAGAAACATAATTGGAACATGAGAACAATGAACTTGAAATATAAAGAAAAATTAACAGGAAGAATTGTAAAAGACATGGCATTCAACTAAGATCAGGAAAAATTATGCTGAATAGCCACTCCATTATTCAGTCAAAAGATTTCTGTTTCTGCTGATATATATACTACAAAAGACACATGTACCATAATCTTTGGCCAAACCAAGAACTACAGAAAACACTTTTGTTCAAGAAAGCTTGCTTTGGCCTTTCTTTTAGAAAAATTTAGTGGAGATGGGATACAGAATACATTCTATGAAACTTTAAATAGTCTATGTGTCCTCAGGCACGAAATCAGAGTATTATTGCCTGAACATTCCTATCACAACACCAGTACTGATCTGAGTGCATCTCCTAGCAGAATATATTGATTGAAGTACCTCATGTACTTTCGCTACGCTACATCCAATGCTTCTTTCTTTGCTTGGTATTTTGCCAAAAGAAAGGCTGGGTGGAGCAAATGCCAGAAAGGCTGGATGGGGCAAATATCAATTTCAGGATTGTATGTTTTTCAGCAACCTTGTTAAATAAATAAAATCCAGATGAACAATAATGTGAAACAAAGAAACTTAAAAAAAATGAGCCAAAAACAATTAGGGACACTTCGCACACTTTTAAAAAAGAGATGGGTTCTGCACAGGAAACACCACATACCCTGCATGTTCAGAATCAAATTTGTACATCCAACTTGCACATAACAATTTAGTTGTGTATTTGCAACTCAAAAGGTTTTTCATCAGTCATTGCTTCCATCCTTGTATATATTGCTGTTAATGACAAATGCGTGAGTACATATGCTTGGTTAGATAGAAGTTATCCCTGTAGTGAAAATTAATTTTGTATAAGGTGGTTTTAAATGAATGGAACAACCAGGATTCATCAATAAGGAAGATCAATGCAGTTCAAGCATCACATTTACCCATCAGCAATAATGTATTCTGAGACCCTGCTCTCAGAGTATGCATGTTGGTTAACATTAAGATGTTAGTATTTTCTATACCCACCTCCCCTTCTACCATATGACTCACCATATCCTCCTCCTCTCCCACTATAATCACCCCTTCCTTGATATCCACCCCCTCCCCTCCAGCCACCCCCACCTCCTCTACCACTCCCACTCCCACCCCACCCACCCCCTCCACCCCATCCACCGCCGCCTCTATTTCCTCCACCTCTCCCTCTATCTCCTCCCCAACCTC